TTGCAGCCCCAGGTAGTGATGAGACCATTCTGACCAATGCAGAATACTTCTGGGGTATTCTAAGAAACTTTTAGAGTGCTAAAGTCATTGTCCTCTCCTCATTGCCTCCACCTTCTTTATAGAAACAAAGTATCCATAAAACAATGGGAAAGCAATTAACAAAATAGCAGTAGTTAATCAGTACCTATTAATAATTACCTTGAATGTGGCTGGATTATATTATCCAGTAAAAAGAGTGAATAAATAGATTAAAAACGAAGACCAACTATAATCTTCCTACAAGAGACTTGCTTCACTTTTAAGGACACACACAGACTGAAAGTGAAAGAGTAGAAAATGTATTCCAAGCAAATGGAAATCAAAGGAAAGCAGTGGTAGCAATACTTACATCAGACAAAATAGACTTCATGTTAAAAACTGGTAAAAAGAGACAAAGGAGGACATATAATGATAAAGGGGTAAATCGATAAAGAAGATTTAACAATTATACATGCATTCAATAATGAAATGTTTAACTATATAAAGCAAATATTAAAGGATCTGAAGGAAGAAGGAGATTGAAATACAATAATAGGAAGGGACTGCACCACTTTATTGGACAAATCATTCAGACAGAAAATCAATAAGGAAATATTGGGCTTAATGCTCTAGGACAAATGAACTTAACACATATCCAGAACACCCCATCCAACAGCACCAGAGCATGCCCTTGTCTGCAGCACACGTAGGGCTTTCTTCAGAATGCATCATACATCTGACCACAAAACATGTCTCAGCAAATTTAAGAAGATCAGTAACCTATTAAGTATCTTTTTGAACCAGAACAGTATGAAACTAGAAATCAATAATAGGAGGAATTTCAGAAAATCCACAAATGGCAGTTAAGCAATGTGTTTCTGAACAACCAATGGGTCAATGAAGAAATTAAAAGGGAAGTAAGAAAATATCTTGAGACATTCAAAAGGGGAAAAAACAATATACCAAAACTTGTGGGATGCAGCAAAAGCTTTTTTTTTTTCCCCCTTTTTCTTTTGGGTGATGGAGATCAAATCCAGGGTCTTATTCATGCCAAGCAGGAGTCCTTCTACTGAGTTACACCCCTATCTTCCAGCAAAAGCAGTTGGGGTGTGTGTGTGTGTGTGTGTGTGTGTGTGTACTAGGGATTGAAACTACAGGTACTCTACCACTGAGCTATCTATATCCCAGACTTTTTTTATTTCAAGACAGGGTCTCACTAAGTTGCAGAGGTTGGCTTTGAACTTGTGATCCTCCTGCCTCAGCCTCCCAAGTTGCTGGGATTGTAGGCATGAGCCACTGTGCCAGGCTAAAGCTAGTTTTTGAGAAGATTAAAAATTAACAGATCTTTAGCTAGACTGCCCGAGGGGGAAAAAGAGACTCAAAATTCACAAATGAAAATAAGAACATTATAACTAATGCCACAGAAATAAAAAGTATTGTAAAAGACTACCCTGAATAATTACATGCAAAAAAAAATTGGGTGTCCTAGAAGAAATGGTTAAATTCTTAGGTTTATACACATAACCTACCAAGACTGAATCATGAAGAAATAGAAAATCTATTAATAGAATTAACAGTCTAATAATAGAAAATTGAGGATACTGACCCAGTAATAAATTCTCCCATGAGAGAAAAACTCCAGACTTGGTTGAATCTAATAACAACTGTCCACAAACTTTTCAAAAAAAATTGAAGTAGAAAACTGCAGACTTTTTTTTTTTTTTTTTTTTAATGAGACCATCCACTGGTACCAAAGTCAGACAAACTCATTACAAAAAAAGAACACTATAGGTTGGGCGTAGGCCAGCTAGTGTGAGCTGGGAGCTGAGAGGACCCTGCTGTGGTGCGGGTGGTGTGGGGCAGCCAGAGCATCTGCAACCAGGACATGCACCTGCACCATTTTCTGTAGCTGTTAAAGGAATAGCAGCACTTCAGTAGCTGGGGAGCTGAGGGAAGCCTGATGAGAAATACTTGTCCACTGTTGGAGAAAATGCAAATGAATTCAGCCATTATGGAAACTGTATGAGCATTCCTCGAAAAAACAAAACAAAAAATAAAACTACTATTTGATTGAGTAATTCTACTCCTGGCCTTGCCCATATTCACTGCAGCACTATCCCCACTAATAGATTATGGAATCAACCTAAGTGTCCATCAATGAATGAATGGCAAAAGAAAATATGATATGTATACACAATGGAATACTATTCACCAGGGACAGCAGGGGTGCAATCAGAGGACATTGTGCTAAGTCAAATAAGCCAAACACAGAAACGAAAGTATCTCATGCTTTTCATGTATATGTAGAATCCGGAACAACTGGATTCCTAGAAGCAGAGAGTAGAATAGTGGCTACCTGAAGCTGGGGGTTGGCAGGAAATAGGGAAAGGATAACCAAAGGGTCTGAAATCTCAGTTTTACAAGAGAATTAAGTTTGATTTGGGTGTTTAAAAAAACAAATCTAATCACAGCATGATGAATATAGCAAATAATTGAGTACTGCATGTTTTAATATCACCAAAAGAATAGATCTCAAATGTTATCACAAAACACATTAAATGTTTGAGGGAATGGATGAGTTAATTGGTTGGATTTAATCATTCCACACTGTATTCAGAAGTCACAACACTTTGTACAGCATATGTATGCAACTAGAGTTTTCAATATATAATGAAAATGTGCTATATGCTAATATGTTTACAGAATAAATTTTGCATTATTCCATTAAATAGAAAGCGGGATACAATATTGAAATATGCTAAAACATGTATGAATCTTGAAAACATCATGCTAAATGAAAGATGCTAATTACTAGTTACAAAAGACCCTATATGATGTGATTCTGCATGAAGTGTCCAGAATAGGTAAATCTAGACAGAAGGGAAAATTAGTGGCTGCTTAGGGATGATGAAGCAGGAAGTAGAGCAGATAGGGAGGTGATAGCTAGAGGGTACGGGTTTCTTTTTGAGATAATAAATATATTCTAAAACTGACCTGGTGACGTTTGTACACACTTGTGAGCATTCTAAAAAACCACTGAATTGTACACTTAAATGGATGAATTGTATGGTATGTAAATTATCTCAAAATGTTATTTAAAAAAGAAGTGCCAATTAAATAGAACATATGGTTTTGGACTGGTTCTTTTTGTAATAAAGGACATTATTGGGACAACTGGGGAAATTTGAATGGTGTCAGCAGAGCATCAGTGTTTTTTTTTTAAATTTAATTTAATTTAATTTTTTTTAACTCATGTAAAATTTCTTTTTTTTATTGGTTGTTCAAAACATTACAAAGCTCTTGACATATCATATTTCATACATTAGATTCAAGTGGGTTATGAACTCCCATTTTTACCAGAGCATCAGTGTTAATTTCCTGATTTGATGGTTGTATTTCACAAATGTAGGAGAATAACCTTTTTTTTTCTTTTTTTATTGATTTTTTAAAAAATAAACGACAGCGGAATGCATTACAATTCTTATTACACATATAGAGCACAATGTTTCATATCTCTGGTTGTATATAAAGTGTGTTCACATCAATTCGTGTCTTTATACATATACTTTGGATAATGATGTCCATCACATTCCACCATCATTGCTAATCCCTGCCCCCTCCCTTCCCCTCCCACCTCTCTGCCCTATCTAGAATTCATCTAATCCTCCATGCTCCCCCTCCCTACCCCACTATGAGTCAGCTTCCTTATATCAGAGAAAACATTCGTCATTTGTTTTTTGGGGGGATTGGCTAACTTTACTTAGCATTATCTTCTCTAATGCCATCCATTTACCTGCAAATGCCATGATTTTATTCTCTTTTATTGCTGAGTAATATTCCATTGTGTATACATGCCACATTTTTTAATCCATTTATCTACTGAAGGGCATCTAGGTTGGCTACACAGTTTAGCTATTGTGAATTTTGCTGCTATAAACATTGATGTGGCTGTGTCCCTGTAACATGCTGTTTTTAAGTCCTTTGGGTATAGACCGAGGAGAGGGGATAGCTGGATCAAATGGTGGTTCCATTCCCAGTTTTCCAAGGAATCTCCATACTGCTTTCCAGATTGGCTGCACCAATTTGAAGTCCCTTCAGCAATGTATGACTGTGCCTTTTTCCCCACATCCTCGTCAACACTTATTGTTGTTTGTCTTTATAATGCTGCCCTTCTGACTGGAGTGAGATGATATCCTAGAGTAGTTTTGATTTGCATTTCTCTAATTTCTAGAGATGATGAGCATTTTTTCATATACTTGTTGATTGATTGTAGGAGAATAACCTTTTTGTGGAACATGCACATCATTATTTGTACTAGTGAGCACTAGTATTTATGACAGAGAATCACCATAGATAACTGACTCTCTAACATCTGGGGGGAAAAAGGTTTATTTCAGCTTTTCTGTACATTTAAGATTGTTTTAAAATAAAAATATGTTTTGTGAAATACCTGATTTAATTTTAAAGTATGAGAGTGGAGATGGAAACAACCAACAATAAAAAAATTAAAAAAAAAAAAAGAGAGTGGAGATGGAATGTTGGGCTCTCAGTAACCACAAAGAATAAGGAGGCTGAGTATCTGATAGCCCAGCATCTTAAGGGAGTAGGGACAGCATCATTCTTTAGCCAATTGTGTTAGGCCTGACTTTTTTACCCCTATGTTTATTAACTTTATTTATTATTTTTTTTAAATATTTATTTTTAGTTGTAGTTACACACAATACCTTTATTTTATTTATTTTTATGTGGTGCTGAGGATCGAACCCAGGGCCTCAAATGTGCTAGGCAAGCACTCTACCTCTGAGCCACAACCCCAGCCCATAACTTTTTTTTTTTAAAGAAAAAATGTAAAAAAAAAAAAAAATCAAGAAGAAAATAAAAGGCTACCACATTACTTTGGAATATAATAGTTAAGACTAATTTCTTACAGAAGCATATTTCTATAATAAACATTATTTTAAGAAAAAACCATGTAGAAGTTAAAAAAAAAGTTATATCATATAAACACTAAATAGCAACCAAAACAAACTGTGGTACCTGCATTAGTATCAGACTTCAGAATAAGGTCTACAACTAGAGAAAGAAAGGAATATTTCATAATTATAATGAGGACGTTCACTGGGAGAACATAATAGTGCCTTAGTAATAGTGCCTTAGTAATCCTTAGCGTGGAGGTAGTACAAAGGCCTGGCTATTTTTTATGAGGTTTCTAACTGATGTCAATTTACACGGAATTTCTACCCTAAAGTAATAACACTGATTTTGAGAAAGAAAAGGTCACTTATATTTAATACAATAAATGAGTAAAAATTGAAGAAATGATGTATTTGAAAAGGAATATTTCTTTATTGATGGTTTATCAGTATCATTAATCAGTAGCCAGAAGAAGGAATCAGATCCCTTTTGGAATGTCCTGCTAAAAGCCAGTCAGTTCGTCATCCTTGCTTTTGTTAGTCTGGTAACCAGTAAGTACCAACTTCTCATTTTGTCCAGGAAGACCTTTGAATACTTTCAAGTGCATATAAGTATCATCACCTACTCGCACCTGAAAGGCATAAGACAAAAAAGGAAAAGGAAATTTATCATATGTATCTATACAATGGAAAAGAGTAATGGATCTAGGAAGACCTCACTGCACTATGCCTTTCTGGAACAGTGCTTCTAGACTTGGGCCAGTGTTCCTACACTCAGCTTCCATCGTATTTTATGAGAAAGGGCACGCTAATGGCATTACAAGAAGCTTAAGTCCTAGTTTTATTTTATTATATGTTTTTTTATTATAATCTGGGTACAAATAACAACTCAGAGTAGCATTTTTCCCCCAAAGATGCACAGAGCAGAAACAAGGGGCAGCCTATATTTTTGGTGATCCTTTTTTTTTAACTTATAAATTAAGATACTTTGTTTGCCACATTACTTGATAAGAAAGAAGACAATCAGAATTGCTGAAAAACATTAGAAAATCAGAAATGCTGAAAAATTTTGGGTTGTATGTTTTCCATCCCTCTACTGTATTAGAACCTACTTTTATAAACACCCACTGAATGTTTTAGGACTGATCGGGAGCAGGGTGGCCAGCCTCCCTTGTAAAGTTGAAGCCATCTTAAAGTCATTGATATCAAGGTTGAGATGGTAGTTTGGGCATGAATCCAGGACCTGGAAAACCACAGCAAGGATTTCCACTTTGTTTCTTGGTTAGGACAATAAAAGTTTTGTCTTATATGGTATCTATTGTGCTCTTCTATCCCTTTCTACTTTAATTTTAACAAATGCCATTTATCAAAATTTATTATGATACTATAAGATGGTGAGGAGCATTTTATACACCTGATTATATTTACTTGTTATTAAAGACCTGCATTTGGAACAATATCCATTTTACAGATGCAGAAGCATATAAAGAGATGATTATTTTCTATAAATCTCTCAGTGAGCAAATGGTAGAACTCAAATTCAAACCCAGATCTGTTAGATTCCAACATCTTTTCACTCTACAGTGTAGTTTTGTTAAAGCACTTATTTTATGTTTAGAACAGGGCATCAGCCTTTGCAAGCAATATTAGGGGTAGCACAGCCAGTGCTCTGGGTCCCAATCCTGGCTCTGCTCTTACAGTTCTATGACCTTGGTTAGTTACTTTACTTAACCAGGGTTCAATCTTTTCATCAGTGGTACAATAGAAGCAGATGATACTTTCCCATAGATTGTGGAGAGCAGTGACAGTGATTGGGAGACCAGTGTCTGAGATTGGGGTATATGATGACTTCATAGTTGTGGTATGCTTGGTGCCTGGGAAAGTTTCTGTGCAAAGGTGCAGGATGCCTGGTTGCTATGGTAATGTCCTTCATGGGGAGGCTGTGTGCTAGAGTCCTACAGCCTCTACTTTACACAGCTCCTGGGAATACAGGAATCCTCTTGCTAAAACAATCATAATCTTGATAGCTCTGCCCGCATAATAGTAACTTTAAACAATGGACTTTTCCTGGGAGCTACACAATGCTCCTAACATTTCACATTGCAACTGTAGAATGTAACTGAGAAATAAGCTGAATAATGTTGCCAACTCTGTAACTTTCATGAATACAAAGGATAATGCTTGCATAGTCCTAAATCTGATTAATGAGACATATATAATAAAGATTGCTGGTGTAATTCTTTAGACTTTCTTCTCTATCTGAGAGCAGTGCTCCACCCAATCCCAGCTGTTTATCTTCAAGATCTGAGTACGTGAGTCTTTATTCTTCCAATCTCCCATCACCCGTTGCTGGAACCTGCTAGTTTTATCATGCTGGTCGCCACAGTAGATTGAGAATATTAAATGAAATGGACACGCCCTGCTCTTGGAACAGTGCTTGGCAGAGTGTAAGCAGTCAGAGATTATTATCCACACTGTTCAGGTTAGGGATTAAGGTTCAGAGGACAGCCTTTAATCACAGGCTTTGACTAGTAGAACGAGTGGAATAATGGTTCAAACCCAGGATGGTCTGAAACCAAAAGCTGTGATCCTTCCATTCTATTACCCTGCCTCTTGATAGGAAGGCAAGACACTAAGGGATGGTGAGGTCACTGGCAAGATCTTAAATCTAGAGAGTAGCTCAACTCAAAGGAATCAACAGCCATACTACAGGAAGTAAGCAGGGAACTTTGGATAGGACAGGGTAGCAGAGTCAAGGGAAGAGACTTTCAAGGTCATTTTTGATGAGCTTTTAAAGGAATGTATAAGGGAGTAAATATGTGATATTTATGCGTTTGTATTAATCCTAACTTATTAAAATGATCTTAGTTTTGATGGAAAGATTCCTATCTTTGAAAAAAAAGCATTTTTAACTGGAAAACTTTCTTTTCCAGCTGTGAAGAAAGGTTGAGAAAGGACAAAATGATGGCATTGTTTTTGAGGATACAAAAGGGTTTCCCTCACATATGTCTCACCTGGGTCCGGTATTTGCCAGGAGACCAGATATGGTAGGACTGAATTGATTCGCATATATAACCCAGTATCATAACCTCCTTCCTTCCTTCCTTCCTTCATTCCTCCCTCCCTTCCTTCCTTCCTCCTTCCCTCCCTCCCTCCTTTCCTTCCTTTACTTCTTTCCTTTTGTACCAGGAATGGAACCCAGGGGCACTTAACCACTGAGCCACATTCCAGCCCTATTTTTATTTTTTATGTTGATACAGGGTCTCACTAAATTGTTTAGGGCCTTGCTTAATTACAGAGGCTGGCTTTGAACTTGCTATCCTCCTTCCTCAACCTCCCAATTGCTGGGATTATAGGTGTGCACCATTGTACCGGGCTCATAGTTTTCTATTTCGGGGGGAGTGGGTACTGGGGATTGAATGCCACATCCCCGGCCCTGTTTGGTATTATTTTAGAGACAGGGTCTCACTGAGTTGTTTAGCATCTCAATTTTGGTGAGGCTGGCTCTGAACTCAAAATCTTCCTGCCTCAGCCTCCCAAGCAGCTTGGATTACAGGCATGTGCCACTGCACCTGACTGGCCCATAACTTTCTTATGCTGAACTGACTAGTTCCACCTATTGCATTTCATTTACTGTAAATATTAATTTTTTATATATATTTTAAGTAGTTTTTTTTGTTGTTAAAGAAAAATAAACCATACTGTGTCCTGGTTAAATGGCTAAGTAAAGAATAAGTAAATACACTTGAATGTCTGCTATTGTTGCTGTTCCAGTGCTGGAGATTGAACTCAGCCTCATTCATACTAGACAAGTGATCTGTCACTGAGCTATACCAGCAGTGTAATTCTTCTTTAAATCAGAATTGTCACCTTTTTAATATGTAAGAACAAGAGTGGCTCCCACATATATCCTTGGTTGGCTTATTGAATTGGTTCCCCTCTGGTAACATTGAAAGGATTTTTAGCCAGGTGTGATGGTGTACACAGGTGGTCCCAGTGGCTCAGGAGGCTGAGGCAGGAGGATGGCGAGTTCAAAGCCAGCCTCAGCAATTTAGTGAGGCCTTAAGCAACTTAATGAGACCCTGTCTCTAATATAAAGGGCTGGGGGTGTGGCTCAGTTGGTAGAGTGTTTGCCTAGTATGTGTGAGGCTCTGGGTTCTATTCCCAGCAGCACATATCAGTAAATAAATAAAGGTCAATCAACAACTAAAAAAAAAAAATTAGAAGAAAAGTCTTCCATTAGAACTGGGTCAATGCATCACTTAACTTTTTGATATAGCTATAAAACCAATATTTTAAATATGCCACTGCTTATTTAAGTAGTTTGATCTAGTTGAGTTGTAAAAATAATTATTTAAGTTATATTAATCAAAATACTTAGTTAAGGGCAAAAGTGGTGTGTATTTTTTTCCTAGCTAATGATTCAAGCCATTTTAAAGATCCATTTTATTTGGACATACAGAATCATAAAGCTCTGAGGAACATACCCTTTAAGACACCATCCGGTTTGGCCCCAGGCCTTTGGGCCCTCCCACCATAAACCTGAAGCAACCAGGGCCATAAAATAAATGTGTTCTGAACATCTAGGAACTGTTTTCCTATACAAGTTCTAGAAATTAAGTTAAGAATCAACATACGCAAGCTAAATTCACAAGGGAAAAAGTAGTTTAAATACAACACCATTTGCCAGATTTCAGAGTCTACCACTTGTAAGGCATCGTGGTAGGCATCTTCACTTAGGACAGCCAGAAGCAATAAAGTGTATGTGAAATTATTATGTGAAACAAGAAACACCACAGCAAAGAAGAAATATGATATCTTTGAGTGCTAAAGTGAATATTGAACTCTAACCTTAATGTAGTAATTTATTCCAGCCACTACTTGAGTTTTGTACTCTACAGCTTCGAATTGTTCATAAGTCTCATTTGTTTTTTCTTCAAGCTGTGGTTTAACCTTAAAAAGAGAAAAGAGGAAACAAATTACTAAAACTACATTGGCTTGATTTATGTGATTTAAAATTCTGGGAAACTCATGCTCCTAATAGTCCTCAAAGATGACAATGAGATCTGTGAGCTGTTTCCCATATTTCAACAGAAAACATTTATCTTTAAGATTACATGAATTAAACTGGGTGTGGTGGTGCATGCCTGCAATCCTGGTGACTTGGGAGGCTGAGGCTGGAAGATCACAAGTTCAAGGCCAGCCTGGGCAACTTAGCTAGGCTTTGTCTTAAAATAAAAAATAAAAAGGGCTACAGGACTAGGGATGTGGCTCAGTGGTTAAGTGTCTCTGATTTCAATTCCCAGTGCCAAAAAAACAAAAAACATTACACGGATTAAAATGTCAAACTTTGTTGCTTTAGGCTGAATGAACATCAAATCTATGTGGTAATTCAATATAGGAACATTTTGACTGGTAAAGCTCCAACAGTTATATATGCCTTTGATTAGTTAAACAAAGAAAGAGCAATAATTATTACCTCTTTTTTAAAATTGTTTTGAAATAATTTCACACTTAGAGTTGTGAAAATAATATACTGAATTCCTTTATAGTATTTATAGTTTCTCCTAATGTTACCATCTTACATATCTATAACATAATCATCAAGACCAGAAACCAACATGGTATAATACTACTAAGAAGTCTATAAACCTTATTAGAATTTTGCCAGTTGTCCCCCAAATGTCCTTTTTCTGCTTCAGGATTCGACACTGCATTTAGTTAGCACACCTCCCTGGTCTCTTCCATTCTTTGGTCTTTGTTGTTGATTGTGGGAGACCAACATCACATGTGACTGAGTCACACTCCCCAGAAATGTGGCTGAGCTTTCCCCACCCTTCTTGGGTTCGAGGGACAGTGTCTCGTGCATGGGTGTGTCTTGCTATAGCCCCATGGGTGAAGCTATGCTCACCTGTTCCTTTGTGATATAAACTCTTTTCCTGTTTAGGATAGAATCTTCCATGGAAGTGCCTTGTGTGTGTCCCCTTCTCTTACTGTGCCCTTGGATGTGGCCTACCCAGATGTCAGTCAACCTGCTGACAGTGGACATCATGAAGATAGACTCAGCCCCCTGAAACCTGACCTCTTGCCTCATTTGAATAGCTTCTCCTCAATAAAAGGGGTCAGCAAGTGCTCTCTCTCTTCCTGCGGACTCTTAAGGTCAGAGGAGCCATCACAGCGACCCCAAAGAAAAAGGTATTTGTGTCCCTTGTGTGGTTATTTAGTGCAGCCCAGTTAGCCCAGTTTAACTGGAGTGACCGCTGAGCCTTTTAGTCGCAAGAACAGAAACCTGGCAATTGATCTTGACACTTTTGAAGAATACTGAACTGTTTGCCGAACGTCCCTCAGTTTGGGTTTGTCTGATCCTCTCTCTGTTAGTGATCCACATCTGTCGAAGGATGGTGCAAACTAATGTGCTCCTGCTGCATCCCCGCAAGAACTGCATGTTTCCTTAATGCTGATGGTAATGTGGATCACTTAGGATGTCTGCCAGTTTCTGCCACAGTAAAGTTACTATTTTCCCTCCTTTGTAATTAATATAAATTTAGCGAGGAGACATGTTCAACTATCCTATTTTTCACCAGATTTTCATCCACCAATTTTATCATTTGATGTTTCTCACCGATAGCAATTTTTCCTGCGGTGTATATCTGTTAACTGGAATTCTACTGGAAGGAAGACCTGTCCCCTTTTTCCTATTCATTTATTCAATGATTATTTCTATTAATATGACTGTGGGTATTTCTTTTACTTTAAAAGTTATTCTTTGTTATCATGTTGTTGTTGTTGCTTCTCGACATGGCTCCATCATTTTGTGAGCACTTCCTTACTTTCTGACTTGAGATGCTTTCCTCACGAAAGCATTTAATGTGCAGCCAGCTTCAATCAAGCCCCCTGGGTATCTGGGGTTCTGCTGAGGCCATCCTGTCCTTCCCAGCAGTGGGCAGACGTTTTGAGTCCTTTGCTATTGGTGTCTCTTCACCCAGCAGAACTGTTTTTAAAGACGTAGACATTTGCAGACTCTGTGTTCTCAGACCACTTTTGAAGAGCCACTCTATAAACTACCACCCTTTTCTCCTGTGCCCTTCAGAGTCAGTGGGATAAAGGTGATTGCATTGTTGAGTTGGAAAACAAAGCTCCAAAGTGGAGAAAGGGGAGAAGACACGCAGAGAAAATACCGAAATGACAAGAGAGAAGCTGACCCGGTGGGGCAGGGGGTTTGATAGTTTAGGTTCCCCTGGTTCTGACCCTTTTGAGCTGACAAAGGCAGAGTGACCAATGCTGGGTACCCACTGAGTTAGGAGCTGAGTTGGAAAGGGTTTGTCTCTATACTGACTCCCAACAGGATTGATTTAACATCATTTTACAAATAAGGAATTTGTGAGGAGAGCTTGATTGCTTAAGGTTGAAAAATTTCACAGTCCTAGTTATTAAAGTTTTTGCCTAAAACTAAAGTATCTGATCTGTAGTCCTGGTTTTCAGTCTTCTGCTCACTTTTTTTTTCCCAGCTTGCATCATAATTTTTTAATTTCTATCTGTTCTATGAACAGATCCAAATTTGTGACCTTTCCATGGTATGTGCAGATCATAAGTCCAGAGTTTTCCATGACAGAGCTCATGCTAAGTGCTCTGGTTTATTTCCTTGGTGCCGTGGCACCTGTCACATGGTGTGCTCCAGTTTTCTGGTTCACTGGATGTGTAATCTTCAGCCTCCTTCTTTCTCACTTTCCAGTAGAAAAGATTTGCATTGTTCAGTGTTAGATGCTGTGGACCTGGGTGATGAGATTTGAGCAGGGGAGTAGGAAAAGGCGCAAACGGGGGAGCTTGTCAGTGAAACCTTGAAATTCAGAAGGATGGACACTGGGAGGATGAAAGCCAGCTGTGAGTGATGGTCAGGAAGCTGGTATGGACAGATCTTGTGCTGAACCTAAATTGGAGTTTCCCTTGCTCAGCCTGCCATGTGCATTGGTAGCCGAAACACTGGAGGGCACAGTGTGGGTTTGGCACTTTGCCCCCAGTCAAAAGAAGGAAGCCATGATGGAGGAGCACCTGGTAAAATAGATTTACTCCAGAGTTGTTCAAGCTTTCCTTAGTGCTGCAAAGCATAATCCTGCTGTGTTGTCTGTTTTCTAGGATCTGAAGATTGGATCACGTGACACCCATCATTCAGGCAAATTTCCCTAATCTGTAAACATCTTCAGAAACACATGAACTATGCAGAGAATGGATACAGATGATGGTGGTATCATGGATGGGCCATATGTTGGAAATTTTTACCAATTAAGAAAGGAGAGTGTGGGTAGTTGTGTGAAAACATGGTGGGACTTGTAGGGCATGTCTTGTGGACATTTGTCATCTGATACATTTTGAAGAAAGGAGGGACTATGAGACCAGGCACCCAGGATGAAGAACTGAAGTCAGCTGGCTCAGAATGGAGGGACTGGCTGAAGAAAGGAGGACAGAGTCTAAGACTGGAGGGAGGGGTGAGATCCAACTGGGAAAAGGTAAATTGGGGCACCAGATGCTTGCAGTTTTCCAAGAAGGGAAGGAACTGAGACATCCTGTTGGAGGGACCATGGGAGGACAGGAGGGGTTGAGAAACTGAGGAGACCAGAAGGTACGGGTTTCTCAAAAATGAAGAACAAATTGGTCTGAAGGAATGTGCTAGTCCCAGGGTGTGAATTCGGAGTTGTGATGGGTGAGTTTTCTGTGGTTCTCATCTTCTTTGAGCAGAGATCTCTGATCTTGGAGAAGAACCTGAGGAGGAGGTGGCGGCCATGGGAGTGATCTCTAATTGAGGCCTGGAATGCCAGGAGCTCACAAGGTCATGGAAATCAGGGGTGGAGGAGTGTATGAAACCACCTGTCATGGAAGCGTGACCAAGTGGGCCCCAGCTTGTTCTGATGGAGATGGGAGGGTAAGTGCCTGGAGGATTCTGGTGTGGCTGAATGGCAGGTTCTCCGGGTGTGGGGCAGTGGAAGAGGTGACTGATGAGGAGGAGGCTGAGGTAGGAGAGGGGAATGTAAATCTGTGGCTGGGGTTAGTGAGAACCAGGATATGTGAATTCCAGGGTGTGTCCAGGATGGCATGCAGATATGTGTGTGTGGCGTACTGGCATACAAAAATCATGTTTTGTGTGTTTGCCAGGAATGGTGTTCAGTAGGCTAGTGACTTAAAGGTATGTGGTGGGGTGTGGTATGCATGCATATTTGTATGTGTAATAATAGTCCTTATTTCCAAAAATAATTATTAAAATAAGATTTCTTTCCTTCACATAAACATACTCAGACTGAATTCTAATCCAGTGTTATTTATATATGATTCAAGATAATGGATCTGGAGGTTTCTGCTCTTGGGACCATCCATTGGTCCTTTATTACATATATCATAGCTTTTCATGGTTAGGTTCATGTATGGCTCTTTATTTCATCATGTGTCTCTCTTACCTCTATTCTGTTTCATAAATTTTCCTGGGGCCAGGGACCATTTATTGTCCTGCCTGCCAGAGCAGTTCACACAGTGTTGTCTACATAATCAGCACCTTCTGAATGAGATGACCACTGTTGTTTTCCTTTATGACAACTTGTCTCCCCAAATAGAAAAGACTGAAAGAGCAATGACTGATTATCAACTAACAGAGAGTCTTGGAAGAGAGGTCTTCCAAGAATACTCAGACTCAAGTTCTTCCAGAGTCTCTCAGTACATAATCCATTCCATCTCTATTGTCTTGTCTTCTGCCTTCAAAAATAAATCCTCTCAGTTCTCAGCCCTTGGATTGATTTTCTTTCTGAACTCATCCAACATTTCTCTTTCACTTAGCTGTCAGCTCCTGGCATCTGCAGTTGCTACTTGTCTGTGCCACTTTGCTCTCTCCTGTGATGACCTTTCCCTTCTTCTTTCCCTCCCACTCCAGTGGGCTTCTCCCTTTACTTGGTATTCCATTAAGAAGCTTCCAGATAAGGAGAGAGGAACCTCAGAATCATCAATTCTTTTAAAAGCTGAAAAATGCTTGCATTTTAACAGGTGATTTTAAAAATAGAAATGCACTTAAAAGTTGAAGGAACAGAACTACAAAGTAAGCTGAGCACAGTGGTGTAATTCCAATGACTCGGGAGGCTGAGGCAGTAGGATCATGAGTTCAAAGCCAGGCTCAGCAAAAGCAAAGTGCTAAACAACTCAGTGAGACCCTATCTCTAAATAAAATACAAAAGAATAGGGCTGGGGATGTGGCTCGGTGGTTGAGTGTCCCAGAGTTCAATTGCCAGTACCAAAAAGAAAAAAAAGAAAAGAAAAAAACCTACAAAGTAAACAACAGGCAGTGGAGGTCTTCCCTGGAACCCCGTCACATCACAGTAGGTGTTTGATGACCAACACCTACCCACTAGCCTAGCCCTGCCTGGGAATGCAACCGGTTCTATCATCTTGGAGGAGTTGATTGAATGTCCTCACTCATCAGGTGCTTTCAATAACATCTGCCTCTTGGGGTTGTTTGTAGGGCAATAATTGATATAATGGATGCGAAAGTGCTTCCTAAACTGTATAGTTTACTGACTTCTTATACCTTCCAACACTAATCTGGACATTGTCCCTTAAGGCTATCTCCTACCACAGAGGGCAGATGAGAGACAAAGGAGAGTTTAGCAGCTGAGGAGCTGCACCCGGACAGTAAGTGTTCACCTGAAGGTAATAAGGTCAGGAGGATTGACAAGCAATCTCTAACATCCTTGCTGGTCCAAAATCTAGGATCATGAAAAGAACTTAATTGGCTAATGTTCTAGATATCTGGGCTTCCCCCATTGCCCTTTAGCTCCTTGAGGTCAGGGGCCATGTCTTATAACCTTAATGTAGCATCTATGATATTTAGCACAATGCTAGACACCTAGGAGACACTCAAGAAATACACCTACCAAATGCTTCATCCATGTGTGTTTCTCATAATGATTTCAATGTGAGGCTGGAGCCTGCAGTGAGAAGGCCAGTCTGCCCTGCTATTCCTCCCCTGTGTGTTTCTTGCACCCCTGAAGCTTCTCCACATGCTAATGCTGTGTGGAGGAAGGGGCCTGTAGTAAAAAATTCTGGATGGAGCCTAATTTCTTAATCAGGTGACTCTTAGCTACTTTGATGGTTTCATCATCTAAAAATTGGACATAATGCCCTCTCTACCTCCTGGGTTATAAAGATCAAATGTGAGATCGAATGGAGGTCAAGGCTTTTAAAACTTCAAAGCACCTTTATGGGCTGAGGTAGCAGTGTTAACAACTATTTCCCATGATACCTCTGACAAAGTTGGAGCCTGAGGTACACAACAAGAAACACACTGTCGAATTAATTTTGTAATTTAAGACAGGGCTCATGGATGGTGTTGTTAACAATGCAAGGCGTTCCAGTAGCTTCTTATTTTTTAAAAGATTATTCTCTCGGGGTTCAGTGGCACATACTTGTAGTGCCAGCTACTCGAAAAGCAGGGGCAGGAGGATCGCTGGAGTCTGCAAGTCTAAGACTAGCCTGAGCAACACAGTGAGACCCCATGTGTCTCTTTCTGTCTCTCTGTATCACACACACACACTTAAATTAAAAATGGTAATGAGTCTAACTAAGATGATAGGCTTTTAAACATCATTGGAATGTTCTATATCTTCTTTATTTGCAATGTCTATTGCTCCCTATCTCCTTACAGCTCTGCTTCCTACAGAGTCTCAGGGGATTTTGGGGATTCAGGGATGATTTCACACAAAAATTTGAATAAACAATTATGGTGTCTTACCTAGGCATATTTCTTTTTTTTTAAATTTTGAGTCATGTTTACACACATTCTTATTTTGGTTTAGTCATAACAGCTCTGAGATTAGTGGGGCAGGAGACTTTTCCAAATGAAATTGAGAACTTTGATTTTGGTACCCTATTTTAAAAGCCTCATCTCCCAGGGCCCTGGAGGATAACATATACCTCTGGTCTTGTAGGAAGGCTAGGTTGGATAGCAGCAGCAGCAGCAGCACCTGCAATCCTGGTAGGAATGCAGAATCTCAGGTCCAACTCAGACCTCCTGAGTCAGAATCTGCAATTTATCAAGACCCACAGGGACTTTCGGGCACATTCAAGTTTGGGAACACTGATATGATATAGGGATTCGAATAAAAGTATTAATGACTTAGTATATTCTCCAAAAATAAAAAGGTCTAATGTTAAATAAACAAACTTCTGAAAAAGAAATATTTATTCCTAAAGAATGAGTGGTAGAATTTCAGGCATCTGGACTCTTCTAGAGCTCTCAGTGCCCTAAAAAATAAACGATCCTATCTCTACCACTCACAAAGATAGCCGATCGAGTTTGCCAGATAATGTCATCGAATGATGATTCAGAGGAAAAAAACAAAACAAAAACAAGAAGGATTAGAAAATGAGGCAATAAATTACAAACTTAGGTGAGAGCTAATCAAACACCACTTGAACTATATCAGTTTGCTAAAAACATTTAGAGTCCTATTCTTACCATAATCAATTTGGTGGTCTATAAGATCCTGGAATCACCATATACTATATTATTTCTTCCTAATTGAATCATCCTCTAACTATTAAAGGACTGCAACACTGTCTATTCAGGCAGATATGAAGGAAGTCTGTAATTGACTGCCTTTACAATATTGTTCTTCATTCATTCCATTTAAAAATCATCTCCCTGAAGTGCATTTAAAGTCCAGTATATCAAATTGTCAACAGCCTTAGACTTCCACTACCTGTTGTTTTCACTGAGCAAGATTGGAAAAATTTCATAAATAACTGAATTAGTAATCTTAGAGTCATACATTTAAGTAAAAGCCTTAGAGACCTAATCCAAAACAAATTGTTATTTAACAAATGGGGAAACTGAGACTCTGACAAGCAACAGTGACTTGGTGGAGGTCTCTCTGGCAAGTGTTGGGATTATTCCAGGTTTTGTCTGAAAGCTCAGTGTTCCATTTTTAGCTGCATGAAAGCTGGATAAAGCCACATTTCTCACCAACACCCTGGTTTTCATGTTCACCCACACCTTTAACACAGGACCAAACGATGAACTGAGATTTATATCCAACTTTTTCCTGAAACGGCACCAACTCACCTCATTAGCAATCTCCTGGATTTCTTCAGTGGCAGGTTTGGCCTCAGTCAAGCCTCCAGGTATCATTTTGGCTAGTGTCTGCCAGGCAGGGTGCTGGAAGCCAAGTGCTCAGGTAAGTGTGGAGACAAGTTTTAACAGCAACTCAGCAAACAAGCTCCGCCTATAGAATGTGCTCACTTCCACAAAGAGTAAAGAGGCGAGGGAAAAGGAGTTTGCCCGAAGCGAGTTTTCTTGCTTTCTTGAGAGGATCTGTTGAGTGGAACTGGGAAGGATGCGGGTGGGGAGACCAGCGTGGGCGAGCTCGGGAGTCACCCCGCAGCGAGCCTCAGACTTGCCTCCCTGTGTTCTCGGTACCCATCCTGATTCCATCCGGTTGCGCCCTCTGCAATCCGACATGCGAAACCACAGTCTCCAGATCTTTAAAAACCTCCAGTGTAAAATTTTATGTATTTTTTAAAAAGAATAGTTTCAAATAACATCAAGGCTGGTTGTTCACAATTTACTTGAATTTGTGAAGACAATAAAAGGATCTGTAGGGAGGACTTCATCTGGATATGTGTACTTCACTTTTAATTTCTAGAAACATTTCAATTACAGAAAAGCAATAGCAAAGTATATTTCTATTACTCAGAAATAAAGATTTTAAACATTTTGTCTTATTTAATTCACATCATTATTTTTCTTTTTGTAGTTGTTTTGAAGAAGTGAAATATTATACCCACCCCAACCTTGCCCTCTATAGAGGTAAGTTATTGTGAGTTTGGTACTTTTCTAGCCCATTTTTATGCTTTTACTTGGTGTTTTAAAATAATAATAATAATAATTTAATAATAAAATTATTATTATTATTATTATTATTATTATTATTATTATTATTATTTTGTACCAGAGATTGAACCCAGGGGCACTTAACCACTGAGCCACATCCCTAGCCCTCTTTAAAATATTTTATTCAGAAACAAGTTCTAAGTTACATAGGCTCTTGCTAAGTTTCTGAGGTTGGCTTTGAATTTGTAATCCTCCTGCTTCAGCCTCCACAGCTGCTGGGATTACACAGCTGCTGTGCCACCATGCCTGGCATATTTTAAAAGTTCAACTTAAGTTGTATGCTTACCATCTTTTTTGTTTTGCTCTTTTCTTACTCTACATGTTTTGCAAAGTCTCCAGTTCCTTTCATGACTGTCTGCTGCTGTCTGCTAGATCTATTGTTCTGACTGCTATATGGCATGTGCTCATTCTCCTATTATTAAGATTTTGGCTGTTTCTATGGCTTCACCCTTATAAAGAAAGTTGCATTATCTTCCTTTGTACCTGTGTAGGAATTTCTCCAGACAACGTCTAGGAGCGAAGTTGCCAGGGACCATGTAATAAATAGGAACCAAAGAGTTTACAGTATAAGGAATTCTTTATATACTCTCCATCAGATGCCTTCACCCAGCAGATTGATGATGACATGATGCTCCTTCATGAAGCCACAAGCCATCTGAAGACTTTGGCTCAGCTTTCCTAGGCCCCTGGCTCACAGACCACCCTGAACAGCCTCCACATACATGCAGGTTCTATTCATCTTCCTGTGGCCTTCCCAAGTCAAGTCCTCTCAGGGGCAGGCCCCTGTTTTCAAGGCCTCAGCCCATTTCTACCTCCTTGCTTACCTTGTCTAGGCCTTCTTTAGGGACCCTCCCTGGTGGGAGGGGACAGGGTAACCTGCAGGTCTGTTCCTTTCCAGGCTTGATGCTCTGTGTTTTCAGCTCTTCCCTCTTGATTCTCTATAATTTCTTTTAGAATTAAAAACTTCCCCCAAGCAAATATTCTTTTGTCTTTGCATTTCTACTATAATAGTTCTGATTCTTCTCTGGTTGTGTGGATGCTTCCAACAAACAAGAGAAGAGTCACACATGAGGAGGTGCAGAAAATAAAAGCACAACAATTAAATTAAACATTCAATGGGTTAAATGTACACCTTTAAAAAGTTTTCATACCTTTATTTTATTTATTTAATTTTATATGATGCTGAGGTTCAAACCCAGTGCCTCACCTCATATGTGCTAGGCAAGCACTCTACCACTGAGCCACAAACCCAGCCCTAAACATTTATTTCTAAAGTACCTCTAAGATTACTCTTTGGGTTTTTCTTTTTTGGCATGTCTTTATGGAGACTGTCTGTATGGAGCTAGACATCCTCATGTTTCTGTAATTCTGGTCTGTGGGCTCATCTTCAGTGGAAGTTATATTTTATGGGAGTTTTGTCCTTTGTGGGCTGAGTCACGGGATTTCCCTTTAAGGTAACTGCCTGTGTGAAGCCCTAGGAGGTAAAAGGCCTCCAACCAGCTCATATGTTACTATTGACTTCGGACTCTGAACCATGAAGATACTGAGAATCTGGGCTCTTCTCCAGCTTGTGGGATAGGCACGGGGCCCTGGACTTCCCCAGCCAACTGTGCTCTCCCGTTGTCAGGGATAGATGGGTGGATGCATTCATGCCCAGCCCATCATTCCCACCCCTGGTAATGTATCCAAGAGAATGAAGACGTGTCCTCAGGAAGACATGTGTACAAAAGTTCATAGCTGTGTTATTCCTCATGGCTCCAAACTGAAAATGACTGGTGAATGGCAAAAATCAATTAAGTGTGGCATATTCATAGCATAAAATACTGTTCAACAACAAACAGTGACACAATAATAACACGTTCAATAATATATGTGAACTCCAAAAAACCAATGTGAAGTGGAAATCAAACTCAAGAGACTAAGGGGTTGAGCTATATTATTCCATTTATGTGAAACTCTAGAAGATGCAAAATCATAGTGACAAAAAGATCACAGGTTGCTTGAGGTTGAGGGAGAGGGAAGGAAAGGATGACAGAGGGACATAAGGAAATGTTTCAGGAAGATGAAACTGCTCCATATCTGGACTGCAGCGGGGTTACACAGCAGGATATGTTTACCAGAATTCATCAGTTGTGCCCTTAAAATGGGTAGACTTTACAGTATGTAGGTTACACCACCCAAAACTGGAATAAAATGGTGCTACCATTTGAACACTTTTATGTGTGTCTTGGCCTTACTTTATGCTGTTTTCTTTAATGTGTTCCATTAGAATCTTAACTACTGCTGAATGCCCATATGCTGAATGACATACAACCTTAAAAACAGTTATAAAAGCCCCATTTGAAGTGTGTGCTCAAGTAGAGGACATAGTTTCTCCTCCTGGCACTCCATGTGGTGAAGAAGGAAATCAGGAGGTAAGGTTGGTTGAAGGTTGGTCACGAAGAATAGGTGAAAGATTTTTTACACATTAGTTGTTTGGTAATAGAGGCCACTAAAGGTTTGAGCTGTACAGAAACTATTTATGATTTAGGAAGACATAACTGGATGCAATGTGTAGGCTGGTGTGTTAATGAAAAATACAGTCTCTTTTCTCCTATCTTACTCAACACTCAGCACATCCTGGCCATCAAACTGTGTGGGACACACAAACAATTTCCAATAGACTCTGATGGGTATCCTATAATTCAATTCAATTCTGACATTAACCAGTGTTCGTGTCTGATTCCACAGGTGAAGGGCACAATCTCTTGAGGTTGTCCCTCACTTCAGATACCAAACACACAATCCAGGTTGTGACCAATACTTTGAGCCTACCAGCTATAAATCAAAGTTTCCATGACCCCTGACTCAGGTTTAACCATTTGCTAGGACTCAGAGAAACACACTGGCCAGCTTCTTATTTAATAAAGGAAAGGATAAAGGATACAGATAAGCAGCCACATGAGAGTGAATCCTTTAGAGTTCCTGAGTGTGGGAGCTTCTTTTCCCATGGAATTGGGGTACATCACCTTCTCAGCACATGGATGCTCCCCAATCCAGAAGCTCTTTAAACTCCATAGTTCAGGGTTTTTTTTTTTTTTTTTTTTAATGGAGGCTTCAGCACATAGACATGAATGATTGCTGACTCAACCCTCAGCTCCTTTCCCCTCCCATATGATAGATAGGGTGTGGGGTGGAGCTGAAAGTTCCAAACTTCCTCTCCTGGCCTCTTCCTGGTGCCAGCCCTCCTCCAGGAGCCCACACCTTGCCTCACTAAAACAGAAGTCACTCCTTCCACCCAGGAAATTCTAAGGGATTAGGAGCTCTGTGTCAGGAACCGGGGTCAAAGACCAACTATTAGAACAACAGATTCCCCTAGCACCCCCAGCTCAAGATATGACAAAGATTTTAGGAGTTCTGTGTCAGAAATTGGAGAGAAATATATATATTTCTATAAATCACAATATCATGGCCAGATTGGAGAAGATCTTGGAGACAGATCAGTTAGGAAGTTAATCACAATGGAACAATGAAAGGTTAATGAGAGCCGGATCCAAGGCTGGCATGTGGACTGAGGAGCAAGGGATCCATACCACAATTTATGTAAATAATATTAGGAGGGAGGAAGGACAAGGGAAGGGGAGTCGGGAAGCTGACAGGTGTTTTGTTTGGGTGGTCAGGACGATGATTTTACTATTAACAGTATTTAGGACTGCAGGGGGAAAAGCAGGCTTAAGCAAGGAAGTCAATACTGAAAATGTAAAAATACAATTGGGAAAAGAAAACTACCTTTCTCCTTCCAGGTCAATGATGGGGGAGAGTGAAGATCTTTGCAAAAGAATTTAATCCAAGACTTAAGAAGGTAATGTGGAAATCAGAAATCACAGGCCTTGATATTTCATTGGCCTTGTAGAAATTTAATTGTTAATAATATTTTATAAAAAGTCTTATAAAGTAAAAAACGCTGCACTGGCATTACCATATCAGTAAAGATGAGGAAGCTGAGAAAGTTGGAGAACATTAATGTACCAATAATCCTTGGGGCACAAAGAACAAAAGGCAATGCTATGTATATGAAGATCTTGTTTAATTTGAATCTGTTCCATTTTAGTATGTTGACAAAAGTAATTTAAGTTTCTGTCTTGTTACTTTGCTAAGTAATGCAAGAGGCCAGGTGTGATGGCACACCTGTAGTCCCAGTGATTTGGGAGACTGATGCAGGAGGATTGCAAGTTCAAGACCGTTATGGACAACTTAGCGAGACCCTGTCTGAGAAATTAAAAAAAAACAAAAAAAAGGTGGTGGGTGGGCTAACATGTAACTCAGTGATAGAGCACCCCTGAGTTTAATCCTTAGTACTGAGAGAGAGAGAGAGAGAGAGAGAGAGAGAGAGAAAGAGAGAAAAGAAAATCTTGTCCCATAATAGTTTAATGGATGTTAATGACTATAAAATATACTTTTTTTCAATTATGGTCTAGGGCAGAAACTTTTTGAATTACGTATTTAATAATTTTTTTTCTGAGAAGAAATCTTTTTTTTTTTTTTGATAGAGAGAGAGAGAGAGAGAATTTTTTGATATTTATTTTTTACTTTTCGGCGGACACAATATCTTTGTTTGTATGTGTTGCTGAGGATCGAACCCGGGCTACACGCATGCCAGGCGAGTGCACTACCGCTTGAGCCACATCCCCAGCCCCAGAAATCTGCTTTCTTGATAAAATACTTTGCTCGATAAACACTTTAGTGGGATTAAGACTTGAGCCTAGTTATTTTCTCACAAAATCACTTTTTTCCTACAAAAATCTTGATTAATTTGAATTTCCTAAATCTCCCTACAACAGTTATGGATGCATCAAATTATTATTGCTTTTGTGAAATAATTTATTATTGCAAAAATGCAAAATTATATATTCAATTAAATGGAATTATAATAGCAGGCTTAGTTCTTATAAATTTCTTTGTTAATGTTGGGGCTTAGGAAATGATGTCTCAGGGCTGGGGATGTAGCTCAGTGTTACAGTGCTTGCCTGGCATACTTGAGGCCCTGAGTTCGATTTTCCCAGGTCTGCAAAAAAGAGAAAATAATAGCCCAAAGTACAGTGCTTTAGCATGCTGAGGACTTTGAATGAAAGGCATTGGAAGTGTCTCAGAAACAAAGTCTTTTTCTGACCTTCTCTTGCCCTTCTTTCTCCTGCTCTTCCCCCAAAGCAGGCCATGAAAAATGAAAAATTCCTCTTCCCCAATGTGGGTCCTGGACACTTGAAGCCCTTTTTCCTAAAGACATTCACAAGGCCTGGAAACATTGTTCTAACCTTCCCTGCCTTTCTGCATAAGAGCTGGCCTTAAATAAACTCTCTGATCTACCTTATTTGATAGTAAATCCCAAGACTCTCATTCCAGAAGAGGTCCTGCCTGAGACCAGGGAGGAAGGAATGCTGTACAGACAGACTAAGAAGAATCTGAACAGCGGCCTGGCTGGGTTTCCTCCTTCTGTCTGTTAACCTTTAGATGACACCCTTTCTGTCCAATCCCATTTCTGCACAACTGTCCATTTTTTTCATTGAATCTAAGCCTAAAAATGGACCACTTTCCCTGGATCTCTGAGCCTTCATTTCAAAGGCTCCTGGGTCATGTAAAGTTTGATTTAATAAATCGGTTATGCTTTTCTCTTGCTACCCTATCTTTTGTTATAGGAACATAATCCTAACTAAAAGGGAAAAAGGTCTGATCCCCATCTGCCCCTATACTCTAAATTGTTAAGGTTTACAAATTGTAAAAGATTTGTTGGAATTTATAAATTGTTAGTTTATACTGGGCAAAAATTTTAACTGTATCTTCAACAAACTTTTAACACCAACATTTGTTTATCTATAGTTTGCTGCACAAAGAAGAGAATAAGTGGAGTAAGATCCAAGACACAGTTCTACCTGAGGTTGGCAGAGGGAGGAGAGGTGGATGACGTATTAATGAAATATTAAAGATGAAAACCAATGTGGAGG